TCGCATATATAAATATACGATATACTTTTGTCGGTATTGTTGACAGGTGAACCGATGGTGTACACACCAACAAAAGTGTTATGTTGACATATCACTTTGGTTATGTTGACATATCACTTTGGTTATGTTGATATACCACTTTGGTTATGTTGACATACCACTTTGGTTATGTTGACATACCACGTTGGTTATGTTGACACCCCACTTTGGTTATGTTGACATATCACTTTGGTTATGTTAACATATCACTTTGAATATGTTGACATATCCTTTTGGTTATGTTGATATACCACTTTGGGTATGTTGTGTGCAGCTTTGAATGGAAAGTGGAAGAGACATTCGGCGTATATTGTCACTCCGCTGTAAGTGGTGTACAGTGCTATCGAAGTGGACCTAAACCCATATTTATGTAAAACCCATCTATTTGTACAAAACCCAATCTATTTGTATCAATACTAATCTATCTGTACAAAATCCAATCTAAATTGTTCAAATACCAAAAATGTTTGTACAAAGACCAATCTATTTGTATAAAAACGATCTATTTCATAGCCGATTTTTAGGAGGTTTAGGAGGATGTCTATTTACGTATTCCTCCGCACGGGATACGTCTTATGTAGTATTGCGGGAGTAGTAGATAAATAGCGTGCCTGTTTGGCGTTTACGTCTATTGGTAAGTGACATAGATATACTAGCACCAGTAGTAGATGAATAGTGTGCCTGTTTGGCGTTTACGTCTATTAGTAAGGCACAAGTTGCCTCTGAATCTGTTACCTTCGTGTTCGAATGTATCCGAGTGAAAAGAGTACGTCAAGTAGTGCCGACTGTATACCGAGAGAAGCCTAAGCCACACCTGGGGTCCTGTGCGGTCACACCGACTTTAAACCGTCATACGTTCCAATTACTTGCGGAAGTACGCAATGACAGGCTTGTGTTTATTCGATGAAAATTGTCTATCAAAGCCCTAGCACCAAGTAAGACAATACTATCGGTATGTGTGTCAATGTACACAGACAAGCGAACATCCTTACTTCCAAACATAGACAATACTAACGGTATATGGGTCAATGTACACAGACATACGAACATCCCTACTTCCAAACATACGATCTGAATGAAAACACTGATGCTATCGAGCCGTTCTCCAAATATATTCATACGACAGTATCGACGTACCGTCATGAGTGCGGCGACAAGAGGTAGAAGAGCACCTGCTGTTCCAGTCATAACACAGTGATTGTATCGACTTAATCGTTTGTTTGTGCTTGTGCCACATCTATACCACAGACCATGAACAGATGCTCTTACAGATGCTTCTTCCAGTCATAACATAGGGATGGTATCGATTTAATTGTTTGTTAGTACTTGTGCCACATCTATACCGCAGACCATGAACAGATGCTCTTACAGATGCCTTTTCCAGTCATAACATAGTGATGGTATCGATTTAATTGTTTGTTCGTACTTGTGCCACATCTATACCGCAGACCATGAACAGATGCTCTTACAGATGCTTTTTCCAGTCATAACATAGTGATTGTATCGATTTAATTGTTTGTTAGTACTTGTGCCACATCTATACCACAGACCATGAACAGATGCTCTTACAGCTGCTTCTTCCAGTCATAACATAGTGATGGTATCGACTTAATTGTTTGTTCGTACTTGTGCCACAGCTATACCACAGACCAGGAACAGATGCTCCTCACGCACCTGACAGGTTGGGGTGACAACTGACAGTATCTAACTACCGGACTACCTAACTGTTAGCAATCATTCTATGCTGATATCTCTGGTCTTCAATGGGTGTTTCTATAGGCACTACAGAGTATAGGGCTATAGGATAGCTATGTAGTAGTATCACGCTGTTGTGTTTTATCTTGTCTGTGTACTCGTGTAAATAATAAGTACGTATGTGTGAAGAACAGAGAAGTATTTTGTTTTTTTAGAAAAACAACATCAGGGTTTAGGGTTTAGGGTCTATTTAGGGTTTATACAAGCAATCTATGGCAGATGCCTTGTTTAACTGGAATACAGGTCCACGGATTGTGGGTGATCTTTCAATACTTTCTGAATATGTGTACAATTGTACAGATGTAACTACGTTCAAACTTCAATCATGCATACATAAATAATTAAATACATGGGTTGTTCATATCACAACTGAAGCACAGCCCACGGCCACGAGAGGCGACTGGCTTACCTTACTTGGAGATAACTAAACAACACTACATACTAGGTGCTGCAGTCAGACTATAAGGTACACTACCCCACTACAAGACTAACCTCACAGACCTGATCTGATCCTCCCGCGGTATTGATTGACTCACTCAGCGACCATGCGGACTCGTAGTCAGAACCAGAAGGCCACAGGACAAGCTAACACACTCACCAGCACATTCCAGGTCAGTAGACGACCTACGGCGACACGAGAGGCTAAGGCGAAGCAGCTTGTTATACCCTCGTCGCAAGATAAGGCAGCACGCACCGATGGGGTCAATCAGGCTACTGTGCGCAATGGAAAGGGTAAGGTGAAGGATACGGGTGGGCTGACTAAAAATAAAGTCAAGACAGTGCAACCGTTGAAACAGAGGACAAAGCATGCGTCTAATGCGGATATTATTATAATAGGTGATAAGACACTCACGTCACAAACAGCCCACAGTGCAAAGACACCCGCAGACACAAACACGACCTCATTCACTACTTCGCAAGAGCGGTATCTGCCAGCTGACCTACTGAGTAGCACATATACTCCAACAAGGTATGTACGTAAGAATAGACTACACACGGTGTGTAACAAGTCATTGTGTAACAAGGTATGTA